AATGTCAAAAGTGGAAAAGTTGCAGAAAATACCAAAATAATAATAATAATAATAATAATCTGATTATTGTTCAGAATTTTCCTGAATGCAGCAATCGAAAAACATGAATAACTATAACTCAATCCAATCTTTATTCAAATTATATAAAATTATTGAATTGAGTGTTCGTAAGGAAGAATCAAATTAGTCCTTTTTCTCCCAATACAGAGCTTCGTGGCTCTGTCTTGCTTGTTGCAATTTATATTAAATAATTTTAGCAACCGTAACTGATGAATTCTAAGAATCTAAACATTAATTTATGAAAAACTTGACTAGGACAAACAATTGAAAAAAACAACATTGCCTTTCGTGCCTCTATGTACCATGATAATTGGACTAGGAGTTCAACAATATGGGGAAGCGAAATATCCAATTCAATCGATTTCAGAACGAGGAGGATAGATAAACCAAATCAATTGAAAAAACCTGTCGTTTGATACTAATTGAAAAAACGACGCAAGCAAGTACAGATAAATTCAGTAGCATCTCAATCACATCAATAGAATGGGCAAAACTCAAACTAAACAAAATTATACCTTATGTCATGCCCTGACAATATTCATCGATGCCGTTAGTCAAAAATATAACATAATAGTTGGTTTGATACTTAATAAGCCAACATAAAAAGTTGATTTGTGTCATAGAATGACAGATTCATCATTAGCGTTATTGATGAATATAGTTGATTTTATTCATTAGGAAACCAACATCAAAATGGAAATGTGTCAATACTAGATATATTGACTCAAATCATGAAAAAAGACTCTTGCAAAATTAGTTCATTATAGAAAAGAACTAATGCATACATCAGGACTGGGTTGATAGTTGGTATTGCAGTCCCTGTTGGGGCTGTGAGCTTGCTATTATTATTTGCAGTTCTATATATGAGGAGAAAAAAATCAGAAAAAGATGACGATGAAGGTAAAAGAGCATATTATTAGTAGTTAATTCTGCATGCGGTTTTAGGTTCTTTCTAGTGTTGATAAGCACGAAGCCTTTGAAAGAAATTACTTCTTATTGTAAGAATACACCTCTAGCGGCATATCAACATCACAAAGGATTACAACATAAGACTTATGCAATATTAATAACAGATTCACTATTGATACATAATTGTCAAGGAATACATAGATGAAACAAGAACGATCTTCTACTCTCTGCAAGTCTCAATATGTTCTAGCTATCAATAGGTCAAGCCCAAAATAGAACTTGGCGACTTGTGAGTGCAGGGATCAGGTCCTTTTATATTGATCAAACCTTAACCATATCTCTCCTATTATAGATAGAGTTAGTGTTTAAACAAACTGATAAACGTAAGCAATTGAGTCCTTATCAATATAATATAGCTACCAAGTCTGTCAAAACTAGGAGTCTTAGTACAACTGATAAATACAAACCCTATTATCTTGTTCTAATATGATAAACACAACATGTGATTATGCCAACTCACATAAGTCATCTTACACAGTTGTGCTCTCGATTGATGGTTTTAGTTCGGCAGTTCCCACGTTGTTTATCTACAGCCAAAGTCCAAGAGTAGTTTAAAACATAAAATGAAGGTTTTATATTCATAATTGGGAAACAAATACCACCCTTATTTAATTTGGCCGCACTTGTGCCGTGTTATGGCTGACCCGGTCCATTTAACACCTCTACTTCCAACATTAGAAGGACAAATAACACTAAATATTGAGTTAGCTAGTATAGTTAAATATATATAATTATTTCATATCCCTGGAAATTTTTTACAGACAATATATTTTGACCATGCCATAAATTATACAAAAATGCAAGGCTCAATCAGTTTAACGGATTAGTGGAGCTCACTTACAAGGATGTTAAGTTTGCCGTAAAATAGTGATGAGGCCTTGTTTATAAGCTCTTTTGGTTGAGCTTTTGAGACCACATCACATACCGAACCAGTGACCAGGGACGGTCCCATGAACATGTTAACTTGGGCTATAGCCCAGGGAACTTCTCTTTTTTGGGACTAAATTAGTTCTCTAGCCTAGGCAATCAGCCGGCTGACAAGAAGAAAGAACAGAGGAAGAAGAAAGAAAGAAAAAGGAAGAGAGGAAGAAGAAGGGAAAAGAATAAAAAAACAGAGGGGGAGATGATAAACAATCGGAAAGAGAGAGAGAGAGAGAGAGAGAGAGAGAGAGAGAGAGAGAGAAGAAATAGAATAAAAAAAGGGAAAGGAGGAAATATAATATAAAAAAAGGATGTGTGTGTTGGGATGAGATATGTGTTTTTATTTTATTTTTACTTCAATTCCTCCTAAATATTTCCCAGTACATGTGTAGCTTTCCTCTTTTTTTTTTCTTTTTTTTCTTTGTTTCCCTTCAATCCCTTCCAAATATTTCAACAATATTATCAATAATTCCAAGATTTTTGTCTGTTTTAAATGTCAGTAGAATAGAAAAAAAGCTCTAAATATGATAAAGAATATATATATATATATTGGAAAAAGAGGGCTTATAATTTTTTTTGGTAACAAACAAGAGCTTATAATTTACCCCCCAAAAAAAGGTATCCATTAAACACAGTCTAAAAAAATATATCAATCATTGGATTCGTTTCAACATTTAGCCTACTCCTACAAATATTCCTAACTTCGCCCTTGAATTTAGCCCATGTTATTTTCAAATCCTGGGTCCGTCCCTGCCAGTGACTTGATCAAAACCCTTCATTTTCCATTGACTCAAGCAGTCGTTAAGCTGAACTTCATTACGAGAACAAGTATGTATAGTTGCACCTAGCCTCGCCAATTCCTCCACAATAGTGTACCTAAAAACAACACATATATGTAGTACTACTTAAAAAAAAAAAACACTTTCAGACTGCAAGCATAAACGAAGAAAGCGCTAACCCAATTCCTTTGGTTCCACCAGTGACAAGAGCAGTCATTCCATGAAGAGACCATCTACTATCTTTGCCAGTGCTATTTGCCTGCGCCATCTATTGAGGCTGCTACTGATATTTCAAATTGGTTATATATATATATTTATTTATGCAGAAATTTGAAGAGAATATTGAAGATATACATAGTAGAAACTAGAGGAGACTTATTAGTCTTGCACTGCTTTACACTTTTTTAATAGGTCTGAAGAAGCACACAGCTTCTCTTGTACACATCAAACCTATCAGCCACACGCTCTGATATTTGTGAGAAGTCGTGTGTCGTGTGTCGTGACTCGTATTGTTTGTGCAAATAATCTCACGGGAGAATATTCGCTTCTGGATCCTTCGACCTTAGATCTTCCTTCTCTCTCCTTCTCGATTCCTGTAAAAAAGATTGGAGTAAATAGACCACACCCAGGGGGGTGTTGGCCAAAGGCCCTCCGATGCCTAAGTTAGTTCGAGTGTTTGTAGGAAAACAGTAGCTAAGCAAAGGGTACAGAGTTGTATGTATGGTGTGAACCGGGCGGCCGGAGCCGTGTGTGGTGGCCGGAGCCGTGTGGAGAAAATATGGAGAGTGGAGAGTGGAGAGGTTGAGAGAGCTTCGGGTATTTTCTCGGGTTTTAGATGTACCTTGAATGATGACTGAAGTCATCTATTTATAGGAGCCTCGGGGCTAGGGTTTCGTAGAGATCGAGTCGGGCTTAATAATATCTGAATTATCTTGTTAATTATAAGATAATATCCTATAATTAGGATATTATCCCTTTGATAAGATAATACCCGAATTATTGATATTATCTCATTAATTATAATATAATATCCCTTTATTATGATAATATCCCAATTAATGATCTTATCCTTATTAATTATGAGATAATACCATATAATTAAGATATTATCCAGATTAATTAATTATCCCAATAAATGGTTTAATTAATTAATTTAAGGGATAATCTTCTTTTCCACGTGGCGTGCTCTAACTGGAGACGAAAATATTTGCTCCCACACGTATAATTCGAATTCGATTTGATCAAGCCTAGCAGCCAAATGAATACAAAACAAAAGCAATAAGTTTTTTTTTTTTAGAATCTTTCCTATCTCTTCCCTATTGAGAAGAATATAATATACTAACTCACAGTCAATACACAAATGCTAGGACTCGAATTCTGGATCTTACCTGAATGAGCAATTACTCTAAATCACTACACTAGTGAGTCCTTTGCAAAATAAAAGCAATAATAAAGAAGAAGAAAGCTAAGCAAAAATAGAGGAACCACTTGTGTACTAGATCTCTTAGTTCTACTTCTATTCAAACTTCTCACTTTACACGTTTTGCACACTTAAGACTTCTATAGAGACTTGCTCTGTTACACAAAACACTACCACAACATGGCTCTCTCTCACCACCAACTCCACTTCGATAGATTAAGAGGCTAACTTGTTTTCATTTCTCTAGGTAGTGTGTTACCTTACCATGTATACGAGTAATGCTAGATAGATCACATTTATATACCATCTCTCTAACAGAATCTTATCTTATCTTTATCAAGAGACGAATTATGAGTCTGTATATTGGGCCACATGAAACTCACAAATAATGGATGCCCCAATCGTCCAACCAATTATTTATATATGTAAGCGACGAGATTTAGTTTTTCTAAATCAAATGGCCTCCTCTGAAAGATGGTAATAATGGCTGGTCTTTACTAACCAGCCATCACCAGCCATTGTCATAACAGCTGGTTAAGATTGGACAATGGACCTGACAGCAGCTAATGGGATTTGGAAATTGGGCTGTGAAATTGCAATTTGTATATCACGAGATAGCATTGTTTTACTATCCTCTATTAATGGGAGCATTTTTGCTCACTATTTTAACCTAAGGTATACTCTCATTACCCTTTTAAAAACTTGACACATGTCCATAATATAACTATGGTTAATTATTTATTTTTAAATGTTTTAATGTATTCAAAACCAAAAAATAAAATAAAATAAAAACTAAAAAATATCTCTCCCCTTCTCTCTGTCCTTTCCCGACCCCACCCCACCCCAGACTCCATGCTCTCTACAGCCACCACCCACCCAACACGATGAATCTTTCTTAAACCTATCATAAGTGCTTTTGTAAGATCACCTCAAATCCCCTACAATAATACACTAGTACTATTCTTGAGTTGAAATTCATTAGTTAAAGTTGAGACTCTTGAAAATAAGATCTCAATGAAAGCAAGTTTTTGGAAAATCCCAGCCTCCAGTGAGAAATGAGTAGAAAAAGCAGCGCTAAGTGGAGACTTTACAAATTCCAAGCACTTCAACGGCTCAAATATAAATGAGATTCCTTATCCGAAGTCGGAAAGGCAACGAATAGAGGCGAACATGAAGCCACAACGTCTGACGGCAACACTAGGGTTAGGGTTTCTGGGGACGGAGAGATCATAGACGACTTGTTGCATAATAGCCACAATGGCGGCAACACCTTCGAATGGTGGATGGGGTTGTGATGGGTATATTTTATATTATATATTTAACCCCATTCTTGGTACATTTTGGTTCATATTTTGGAAGAATTTTGATACTTTGAATTGTTTTCTCAATATAGGACTTTCGACTTTCTCTGGAGCAAAACATAATCAAATGGAC